TCTTTCTTTCTTTCTTTCTTTCTTTCTTTCTTTCTTTCTTTCTTTCTCCATTACCAGGTTCTTTCTATCTCCATTACCAAGTTCTTGATTGTGAACTTTGCATATGACAATGTCATGTTGCACACCCCTAGAATATAAAATCTTAATAACAGTTTTAGAAAGAAAAGTATGTTAATTTTTTTTCTTCCAATATCTTGTTGATATCATTATTTTAAAATTGGCACATCATCTTGTTTTTGTTTTATGAACAGGAAAGCAAAATCCTTCCATTCCAAGTTACAGACTTGATAAACAAGCCAATGTAGATTACGTTTCAAGCTTACGCAATTAAGTATAATGTGTAATGAATGATTTTTAAGAAACTGACTGAAAGCATTCTTTTACTCTTCATTTTTCTTATTAGAGAGAGGTGTGGGTAAGGTTTGAAGGTGGTTAATAAAAGAGTATTACTATCCTTATAATGGCAAGCCACATAGAAACATGGCAGAAAAGCTCAACTCTACTTGGGATAAAGGAACAAACAAGCACAGTTGAAACTAAGCATTTCTCAAAAGTGCATACATCCTGGAGTATGCCTGAAAATATTACACAAGAATCTAAATGCAAAACAAAATAATTCAAAATTAAAAAAGAAAAATTGGTCAATCGTGACAACTCAAGTTTTTAGGTTGTGCACATGCTCCACTGGGCAAGTGTGTACTTAAGCACTGTAGATGTGTGTGCATCTGAAGGCCCAAAGACAACATCAGGTATTATTCAAGTGCCAGCCACCTTTTTGCTTGGAAGAGTCTCCCACTAGCCTGGAGTTGGCCATCCAGTGAGCCCCAAGCTCTGTCTCTGGCTCCCTAGTTCTGGAATTATAAGCACATACCCTACACCCAGCTTTTTTATGTGAGTTCTGAGGCTCAAACTCAGGTCCTCATGCTTGTAGCAAAGACAACTTTACCCAACAAACTATCTCCTCAGGCCCAATTTCCTAAGCTGTTAAACTAAAAAGCTAAAATGTACAAACACTGAAACATACATATACTTCATCAGGCATATCTAACCTACATGTCACGGCCATATGTATCCTAGGCTAGCCATGAATGTAGCCCAAAACAATACGCAAAACAGTGGAAGTTTTTTTTTCCCTCCTCATTTGTTTTTGGTAACTTGAATGCACAGTCCTAGAGCATGTACCTTGTGGATGACACTGTGTCTCAACGTGAAAAGGCTGGACATGCCTGCTAGTTCTATGTTTAGCAAACATCATGTCGGAAAACAAGAGTCATGACTGCAACATGAATTCCCACTTGCATGTAGCTTGATTACATGAGTGACTAGTACCTCCTCCCATGGAGTGTATGATGAAGAAACACTGCAAGCAGTCACAGTGCTCTGCTGCCTTCCGGAGTTTCTCTAAAATCTGTTCCCGGTAAAGACTTCCAAAAACTTTGTGACCCACAGCCCTGAAAATAAGGACACAGATTAAAAAAAATAAATAAATCTTTGATTTATTATTTCATGATTTTATTATTTCTGCTATACAGAAGAGACTGAAGAAAAATGAAAAAACTATTTAAGTTGTACCAAAAAATCTATTCTTCTGTTTAATAAATCCTATTCATCATATATTAAATACTAATAATTCTCAAATATCCTTATAGAATTTAGCTTATAGGCAAGCAACGGGTATTAAGTATACTTTTTAAAATTTTATCTTCAATTTTTTTCCAGATAAAAAGAATTCAGTTATAATTTTCTTGTTTTTATTTAAACTCTGAACTGCAGTGAATTTATATATTAAAATGCAGAATGAGGTTAACTCAAAAGATACCAAAATGAAAAATCTCAAACTGGCTTAAAATAATCATATAGGATAAACATACTAAAATCTGTAACCTAAAGAAGCTAAACAAGGACGACCCTGGGTAAGATAATCAATCCTCACTCAGAATGACAAACAGGATGGACATCAGAAGAAGGAGAAAACAGGGAATAGGACAAGAGCCTACCACAGAGGGCCTGTGAAAGACTCTACCCAGAGCAAATGTTGAGACTCATAGCTAAACTTTGGGCAGAGTGCAGGGAATCTTATGAAAGAAGGGGAGTTAGTAAGACGTGGAGAGGACACGAGCTCCACAAGGAGAGCAACAGAACCAAAATATCGGGCACAGGGGTCTTTTCTGAGACTGATACTCCAACCAAGGTCCATTCATGGATATAACCTAGAACCCCTGCTCAGATGTAGCCCATGGCATCTGAGTATCCAAGTGGGTGCCCTAGTAAGGAGAAGAGAGACTGTCTTTGACATGAACTCATTGGCTGGCTCTTTGACCACCCCCAACCCCCCCGAGGAAGGAGCAGACTTGCCAGGCCACAGAGAAGGACACTGCAGCCAGTCCTGATGAGACCTGATAAGATAGGGTCAGATGCAAGGGGAAGAGGACCTCCCCTATCAGTGGACTTGAGCATGGGAAGAGATGAGGGAGGTAAGGTGGGATTGGGAGGGAATGAGGTAGGGGGCTATAGGTGGGATATATAATTTTAAATTTATATAATATAAATATATTTATATTATATATAACTTTATATATAATTTTATATATTTATTACATTAATAAAATGTAGTTAATGTAAAAAATTGAAATAAAAAGTAAAAACATAAAAACAAAATAAAAGAATAAAAACTTGGCATATCACATTATTACATGAAATGGCAAATGGTTGAAATGATACTAAAGATACTAAGTTGTCTTTGACGATGAAATCTTGGAAGTATCACTATGATACAATCCAAAATAAAAAGTGATCTCTGCATTACATGCAGCTTTAGTACAATGCAAACATGACATGGTGAGCTATACACAAACAGAGGAAAGCTAGGTGGGTAGGCAGGGAGTGACTGGTTGTTCCTAGTCTCCTTACACATGGAATTCAAACCCACGCTTTACTAAAACTACACATCTGAACTCTGCATAGGAACCAAGTAGTTGGTAGCAAATATTTAAAATAAACAACACGAGAACGGCAATGTAAATTCTTTAACTGTTGGGGTGTTTTTCCCCATTGGAGAGATTATATATGTAAGAGCCAGGCTGGTTAGAGGAAACTGGTTTGGGTTATATCTTTCTGTTAATCTTTATTGATTTAGACAAACAGAACAAGTCGAGGAATCAAATAATATAAGTGAATAGTTAAGTACTTAAAACCTTTAAGAATTTAGCTTGTCAACTTCTCATGAGTCATTGTTTGCAATAAAAAAAGTAGAAGTGGGAGTGAAAGCAAACGCAGGTGGCTCCTGAGCACTGTAAGTGTTATCACTGGTCAATTAGTCATTAGAGATGGGGCAGATGAGCTGATACTTGGCATGCCAATCACACTTCACCTTCATCCCTGCAGGACTGCCAGGATAAGGCAATGTATACTCAGCTTTTCAAATGGCATTCAGTATTTTCTCACCAATTATTTCCTGAGCCAGAAATGTCAGTGATGAGCTGTTTGCTATCAAATACATCTCTCAGTGGTCCTTGGAGAATTTCATTCACTACTCCTTCTTCCATGTCAATCAAAACAGCCTGAAAGTAGAATTCAAATTTAGCTTATTTTCTTTAGCATAATTTATTCAATAAACTCAAGAACTCATGAGCTATAAGTTATAGTATCCTTTTTCACAATTTAAAAGTTTTCTTTATGCAATCTATTGTAACAATTAAAAAGATAATTTTGTGCAGCTTAAAAAGATGGGACTCAATTAAGAACTGGACTGTAAACTCTTAACTCTATTCCAAAGGGAAAAGCGGGGGACAAAGGAGTGCAATAGCCCTCTCACCTGAATTCTAACATGAGTCTTAGAATCTGGAAGGTAGCCCTGACCAAAACCTTTTCAACTAACGTACCATGTATCAATGCATTGCATACGAAAATGGAACAAGAATCGTCCAATTCAAGCGAGGGAACTTCTAGCCAAAGCACCAGGCAGATGCTGAAGATGACTAGACCCTTCATTCAAGTGATGCCAAGTCAAGTTTATTAACTCTGACTCTACTGACATGGAAATATCTACACTAAGAAAGGAAGATACAGAAGATAAAATTAAAGGAAATAAAATAAGTGTGAGCAGGAGTGGTTTGCCAATAGCACCATGTGCTCTCACCTCCTACTTTTCTTTTTCTTATTTTCCAAAATAAAGTGGCCATAGAATTTAAAGTGGGCCATGTAATGGCCCTTCAGCATTTGAAACAAATTGGAAGATGAGTAAACTTGAATACTGGGTGCCTTGTGGGCTGCTCAAAAAGAAAATAAATTGTTCTGAACTATCGTCTTCTCTTATCCTATGCAACAAACCACTGTTGATTGGATGCAACTAAGACGTTTCAAAACACTTTCCAAAGCCAAATTTATACACACACACCACACAGAGTCATAGTTACTATTGTTCATCTACTTCTGGTCTGATCCACAATATCCCTATGAATCCCAGAGAAACTATTACAGCTCAGCAAATTGATGGGGTGCACTGAAATTGCAATGTCTAAAGCTGCCACTAGTCAACAGAAACGGTCCAATTCTTTTCTTTGATAAAGGCTAACCATGTCACAACCAATGCTTCAAAAGTTGAATGAATTGGGCTATTAAATTTTGCTTTATCCACTATATTTGTGAACCACCTTCCACTTCTTCAAGTGTCTGGAATACCTTTACGCAGGGAAAATGCTTCCACAACTAGAAAAATGCAGAAAATGCTTTTCCAGAGTTTACAAAACCCCTTAACATGAATTTTATGTTAGAGAAATAGCAAACTCACTTCTCATTGGCAAAAATGTGTTGACTGTAATGGTTTCTATTTTGATTAATAAAGACATGTTTGGGACTAGTTATTTAGAGTTCATGGTCTGAAATAGCAATTCCTTTTGCTCCAGCTAGCCCATGACACTGTTTAAACAATTTACTAGCTTAACCTGCTTAACCCAGTGCACTTTAGGTGGTGTCACCCCTGGGCATGTGGTACTGGATGGTTTAAGAAAGCAGGCAGAGCAAGTCATGAGGAATGAGCCAGTAAGCAACTTTAGTTCCTGCTTCCAGATTCCTGACTTGAGTTCCTGTCCTGACTTCCCTCGAGAATAAACTATGATGTGGACCTATAAGTGAAATAAACCCTTTCCTCCCCACATTACTTTTGGTCCTGCTATTTTATCACAGCAATAAAAACCCTGAGATAAGAATACACAATGGACATATTATATTCCAAAGACTGCAACTCTTTTTTATTTTTAAAAAAATTTCAAAGATGTTAGATGTGGAGACACATGCTTGTAATCTCAGCACTCAGGAGGCTCAAACGGGATTACTGGAAGGTTTTCTTTTGTTATTTTTACTTTTGTGTATGGATGTTTTGCCTCCATATACCATGTTTGGGCATCATGCTTGTGCCTGGTTCTTGTGGAGGCCAGAACAGAGCACTGAATCCCCTGTAACAGAGCTCCTATGTAGATTCTGGGAATCAAAACTTGACTTCTCTAGAAAAGGGTGCTCTTAACCTTGAAGCCATCTCTCCAGACCCATGTCCTATTTTTTAAAGATTATTGTCATTTTTAAAGTGTGTGCACATGATTGCAGGTATCTGAGAAGGCCAAGAGTTGTGGGATTCCCCCTGGAGCTGGAGCTGTGGGCAGTTACTACCTGCCAGACCTAGGTGCTGTGCTCTAGGCTTCTGCAACAGCAACAAGCACTGCTAACACTGACATCTCCTCAGTCCCTACAACCATGTTTATAAATGGGCTCCATTAAAAAAACATAAACAAGACTATATAGGGGTGTATACTGGTTAATTTTAGGGATTTTCAAAGATATATTGAATATGCAATTTTTATCTCAAATGCAGACACTACACCGAGAGAGTCTTGACTGAATAAATTGTATATGTAGTTATAAACTGTATAAGATTATAAACAAAAAAAGATACTGGTCTTGTTCCAAACCAGATTTGATATGGTTTATGGAAGTTTGAAGCTAGGGTGGCCATACCATCTCTGACTGCTTTGCTGTTTGGCAGGGAAGCAACCTGCAGGGCATATACTGTAAATTGGGCCCCATCTGACCTGAGTTCTGATAGTATCATCACTGTCCCAGTAACTTACTTAGCTCTTCTGATCTTTGCTTTCACATCTTCTTCCTTTATAAAGGTTGAGAATATTTTTTACTTTTCACGTACCCCCAGTCTTTAGTGAAAACTGTTCTAGGAATACAGATGTCTCTATTCCCTTCCAGAGCTACATGATAATAACCAGAGTCCAGGAGTCACAACATTCTGTGTGCCTAACCTAAGATGTTACATATAACCAGCAGTCTAGGGGATGTCGAAGTTTTTCTCTGAAGTGTGGGATGGCAGCTCTCTGGCTACATTCTTATCCTCACACCAGTGAGCGGGTGGAAAATAACAAAACAGAATTAGGAAAGGATAAATGAGTATTCCTGCAGTATTTGACCTTCAACCAGAAAGCACCACCATTTTCTCCTTAGGAATTTCTGGTGTCATGTGACCGCGGACGAGGCCTGGCTTCACAGCAGCTTCTTCTACTGTTCACGGTGTCCACTGACTATCCTAGCTTGCATGCAGTTTTGTTTTCCAGGGACATCAGAGATCACACAGAGAAGCAGTTTTCAGGAGTTACCCTACTACTCTAGTCGTTCAGCATCTGACCCTTAGCACCTCAGTTCCCTACACAACATTAAACCGTCTTTCTTTTTCTTATAGCCAAAGAACTGTCAACAACCAAAAGGAAAAACAAACTGCAGAGAAATAGTTTACTCAAATGTCACTGCCATGCTACAAAGTAAGAATTCCAGAATATGTGTCTTACTCGTGCTTTTAAAGAAGATATTCTCCCTTTGCAAATACTGCCACCATCACCAACCACTCTGAAAGATAAACAAATTGAGAAAGAGTCATAAGCTTTTCCAGGAATGGTAGCGTTAGTTTCATTTTCACTGTGAGACAGCTCTCTCCTACCATATTGCTCCAGAGGAGTCAAACCCAAGTCCTCTGATCAGCAGCAAGGGCCTTGGCCTACTGAGCCATCCTGCCTTGGTATCTGTCTTTGAGGCATTTCTCCGAACCTAGAACATCTGATTTCCAGTTTTGTAAGTGGGTATCTAGTCTCTGTCTTGTGAATTATGTTGATCTGTATACTGTGTTTATTCATAGGTTTTAGTACTTTCACTAAAATTCTAGAAGTGGCCTGACTAGTATGTAATGTTTTTATCAGTTGACATGTTTGGCTACAGCAGAAAACCTAATTAACAATAACTTGAACAGGCTTTTACTTATTCTCACTGCTCTCCGTTTCTTTGAATTTGACTAATCTAACTTTACTGGAGGGCAGTGGAATAGGTATAAGCCCAAACAGGAGGCTCTGGGATTCATCAACAAAACAAAGACTAGTCAGGTTTCCATACTTAGTTAACAAATTTAAGTTAAATTTCTACCAAACTGGAACAAAGCCCAATATCTAACTGTAAGTCCAACACAGTTGGTTTTATAGAGTGTTTTGAAAATGAACAAACTTAATGATTTAACACTAAAAGCCCATGGGCATATCTCAAATATCAAAGAATTGTAATACTGCAAAGATAAAAGAATTTTAACACCTATATCTTCTATTAATCAAAAGGTAATATATGTTGTGAGCAGGTTCCACTTTTGTTTTCTTTCTTTTTAGCATATTCTAAGAGCAAATAATCCACAAAGTAATCTTTCAAAGTCTATTACTAGACTTGTAACATGATATCTTCAGGTTTCTCAGACTGAAACATCTTTTCAAAGTTAATGGGAGTCTCTTAAGAGTTTTGATTTTTTTTTTTTTTCTTTCTTTCTCCTTACTGAAACCTGTCAAGGAAGCCTGGTGTTTTGCAGAATAGTATGAAAAGTGACATGAGAATACGCTTTCAATCAGAACTGCAGACACCATCATAACTGTGGCTTGTCTCCATTATCCTTTCAGGAATCCCTCCAATTCGCTTCCTCCAATCCTTCCATTCAGGAAGATAAAGAATCATTACGTCCAGAGGCACTTTCATCCCCTTACCTGGTATCCACATTCCTGAAGAAGCTGCTTATTGCATCATCATAAATTCCTTTCTAGAAACAAAGCAAACTATAGCATTTAAGTTTATTTTCTCTTTCAAATTTTAGTAATTCTATAACATTAAAAGGGCTAATATACAGCCTTTAGAAAAATTCTTCCTGTTGTGTCTAAAGAATAAAATGCCAAGAGAACCACTGTTTTAAGTTTGGCAGTGAGTGATTAAAGTATGCCCTGTAGGATTACACAGCTGGTGCGCCAAGTGAGAGTTTCTTGGGATTCTTGATTGATCATTTGATGTGTTACCTATTTTATAGTGCTATCACCTACAGCACCCGTGACTTACAGCCCCATGGGTTTAAAAAAGCCACTAGCCACGTCCCGCAGGAGAAGATCCTGTGCAACTTATGGTACAAATAAAAAGCTCAAGCGTGCAGAGCGTCATAGCGGTAATTCTGGGGAAGCAGAGGCAGAAGGATCGCTCTAAGTTTGAGACCAGCACGGTCTACATAGCGAGTTCCAGCTCAGCCAGGGGCCCCTAGCGAGACCCAAAGCAGCACCTCGCCCCAAGCCTCAAGTGAACTCTTCCTACTCTGCGGACAGGCCCGGGTGACAGGCGACGGGCCTCCGGGCGGGTACCTGGTTGACCGCGGCGTGCTCCCTCAGCGCCAGGTCCCAGAAGCAGCAGCCGATCTGGTTTCCGCACTGGCCGACTGTAGCCGGGGGGAGGAAGAGAGAAAAGGGCATTAGGAAGGCAACCAGGCGACGGGCCTCCGAGTCCGAGCGAACGGGGTAGCTCACCCTGCACGACCACCGACTGCGTCATTCCGCCCGGCGGACCAGCACGAACCTTCCCGCCGGCATTCCCGCCCTTGCGTTTGAGCCAAACGACGCTCTTTGAAGGGCGGCCGTAAGTCACGTCGCGGCCGCAAGTCGCCACCGTCGTAAAGCCCCCGTTTCCTCAGGAAGCAGGGTTTCTGCGCAAGCGCATTTGCGGCTGGCTGTTACCTTAGCGACTGGGCCTCCGGCAGGTAAATCCTAGCTGCCTTGTCAACATCCTTGGGCATCTGCAGCTCCGGAGGCCCTGGTAACTGGCGGGTAACTAGGTTTCGGAGTGGCATTTTAAAAAGAGGGTCTCTAACACTGATGACGGGCCGTGAGAGGCCCACAGTCTTAACAGCCAGGGCCGTGGGTCGGATCCCTCCTGCCCTAGCGCCGTTATCTAACTGAAAACGAACGCCGAGGAGCACAGAGAAACCCGAAGCTAGGTACACTCTGGCCAAATGGCACAGCTAAGTTCTGAGGCCAAAGCGGTGTACAACTCAAACCTAACTTTTAAAATTTCTGGATAATTTCAAAACAGTTTAAGGCAGAGATACAGCTTCAAACGGCTGGCGATGTAACTGAAGACACACACGACGTACTCAGAAGACATGTCCTAAAATAGTATATGGCGCTGACAAGGAGAGCAGTAATAATCAGTGGACAAGGGCCTACGATGGGCGAGATGGGTTCAAATTTAAAGCATTTGATGTACAATGTAGACGGGATAGAAAAAAGTGGGGCGGGGTGGTGGGGAGAGCGCAACGTTTGAAAAATCGGTTATTTTCAGAAACTGAATTTTTCACTGGACAGATTAAATGAGATTTTGATTAAGAACTAAATTAAGAATTTAGGATGGAGGGATGGCTCAATCAGTAAAATCCTTACCATAGAGGCATGGAGACCTAAATGCAGACCTCCCCCTCCCCAATCCTTACAAAAATCAGGGAACCTGTAACCCTGGGCTTGGAATAGTGGAGAAGGGAGGATCCCCAGGGTCTAGCTGAATCTGTGACCACCAGGTTCAATTGGAGACAATGTCTTAAAAAAGTAAGATGATTAGGAAAAGAACTATATGTTTCACACCTTGCTTCCATACACACAAATCCTCAAGAACGCTAGTACATTAATGGAATCATTGCCCACAAAACTTCTGAGAAACTACAGAGCCTTCGGTCTTCACTTAACAAAACTTAAATTACATCTTCCGTTAATGTATCGTGATGTGATATAGATATATGATAGGTAATGTGATAGGAGCCCCAACATTTGATTCTGCCACCAAGATATTACACATTTTTGAAAGATAGGAAGTTTGACATTACAGTGGGTTGTTTATGTTGCCGAGGCCTTTTTATATTTCTGTCTGGGCGTTTTATACCTTTGTTCTTACATCTCTTGTAATTATTAAGGAGCAGATTTTAGACAAGAAAAAGTTGAAACTTACTCTTAGCTGCTTATTGGTAAGCATATAGTCATTGGTGAGTGTATCGTCAGACACTTTGGGTCTCAGTGTTGAAGCCCTCAGATCTGGGGCTTCCAAAGTTTCCAGAACTTAGAAAAATATGTAGGTTATGGTGGGATTGGGTTGAATCAGTAGATCCTGGTGCCAACTTACTTGGTATTCTGGACTTTGCAGAGCTCTGCCCATGCTGTAGCTCCCGTCATTCTCCAGAAGACACACAGCAGCCAGAAGTTATAAGAAAATCCTTACAAGTTTCACCAATAACTTCAGTCTGGAGTGAATCAGATATGTCTGCTTCATAGCCAGGTGAGGTAAAACCTTCTACACCAGTCACACCAGACCTTAGGGTATGTACGTGTGGGTTAGCCAAGGTGGAAACAACTTAATGGTAGGTTGTCTGCTGTCTTATAAGCAAGAAAGTTTTTGTAAAAAAATAATCATTGAGATTTTGGGATGTAATTGTATTGAAGTAATAACTAATACAGGAATAGATTCAACAAGATTTTGCATGCTAAATAGAAGCAAAAGAAAAAAACTCAGTGATGGTCATATAGACTGCTACTATAAAAGGAAGGAAAGGAGAATGGGAAAAGGAGGAAGGAAGATGCTATTTAAGATGGACGAAGCATATGGTATGAGAGAAAATACAACCTAAGGAGGAGAAAAGAGAAATTACATAAGCACTTTGCACTGTGGAGCAATGTAAGAATATGAACATAGTAACAAGATGCTAAGATGATGTATTGAAAAATACAGGCTGAATTTTGCATGTTTGGTCTACTACCCCAGGACTTGGAACCTCATCTACTATGCAGTAGATAGTAAATAAGTATTGAGTGGAAAATGAAATGAAACTGAGATAAAGGAAGAAGGAAATTAAAGATCAAAGCACCTTAAAGGATTCATGAACAAGTTTTAAAATCATGGAAAAAGCAGACTAGAGGAATGAAACCAAGTTATTGATGTAGAGAAAAGGCTTGAAATTATCACGGAGAATGCTGAGAGAAAGGCAAAAGTGTTGAAACTATTAAAGATAATATTCATGGGGGAGGCAACATACTCGGCATAAGATTAATAAATACTCCATGAGATAGAGAACACAAAATATGCAAGGATAAATATTTTTAGTGATATAAAAACAATGATAAAATATATGGATTAAAAGGATGCACCATATTCCACAGGAATGTTTCTATAGAGCAGTCAACAACCATAACCATATCTTGGCTAAATTATTCAGTTTTTATAATAAAGAATTCTTTGAGTTTCTGGGAAAGAAGGAGTGGGATGAAGAAAAACCCATTAGTCCACATTATATTGGTCTATTACAGGGCCCGCCTTTATGTAGTGTTTCAGCAGTTGTTAGACATTCTTATCCTAATCTCATGGCAAAATTCATTTAATAGGGCTGGAGAGATGACTCAACAGTTAAGAACATTGGCTGCGTGTCTGGAGGTCCTGAGTCCAGCTCCCCACACTCATGATGGTTCACAACCATCTATAATGGGATCTGATGCCCTCTTCTGTCATGCAGGAACACTTGCAAATAGAGTACTCATATACATTAATGAATAAATCTTAGAAAAAATTAATGCCCTTGCTCAGGTGTAGCCAATAGGTTGCTCAGTCTCCATGTGGGTTTCCTAGTAAGAGGAGCAGGGGCTGTCTTTGACATGGACTCTGTTGCCTGCTCTTCTATCACTTTCCCCTTGTGGGGGTCCATTGCAAGGCCACAGAGGAAAAGGATACAAGCAGTCCTAATGACACTTGAGAGGCTGGGGTCAGATGGTAAGGGAGGAGGGCTCCCCTTTTGAAGAAATAGGGGAAAGGGACAGGGAGAAAGAGAAAGGGAGAGTGGGATCGAGAGGAGACAAAAGAGGGGGCTACAATCCAGATGAATAAATTATAAAAAGTAAAGTTAAAAAATTAATAATTAAAAATGAAATTAAAGTCAGCAACTGAAGAATCAATTTCAGAAGTGCAACATTCTGACATGGTACAATCCAAAAATATACTTATTTGATACATGCTGAGGGATGGCAATAGGAAAATATTAAAAATAATTGTTTTGTATAATTAAATCATTATGTTTCTATGAGAAGTGGAAAATTTTGCACATACAGTAGAGATACTAGAGTTAATAATCCACACTCTCAAATCTGAGCTGTTCCTGGCATCATGTGTCTTGATGGTATGCACGGTGCAAAATGGACACTTTGTATGCTTAGAACCAAGGCTACGGGTACAAGATAAGCTCAGCCAGGTACTATCAAATTTATTATGTGGTTGGTTTTGAATTAATTTCTGATCATTATGTGTTTAGAAACCTTTGGTGGTAGTTAACAATTTCATTTGGTTACATGACTCACAGTTTCAGAAGCAACAGTCTCCTACCACGTTCAGTCCTGGTTGTCACTGAACAACCTCTACCGGGATGTAAGAAGAATAAAATGTGCTTGGAGGAAATCATACTTCTATGGCGTCCAAGCAGTCATTTAAATAAAATTCAATTTTGTGGTCACCTATTGACATTTATTCTTGCTGGACACTGTCATTTCTGAATCCATCTCTTATGTAGCTTGACAGACAGCCATAGATACTATGTTAAGATTGCCTTCCAAACGCTTTTTGTGGCACCTAAGTCCATTAGTTAGATGAGCTGAATTACAGGTTATTACAGTTTTTTAAAAAACAATTTTGTGTCTGGACATGATGACATTTGCCTATAATTCTAGCATTTGGGAGGTAGACAGGTGGAATCTCGGAGAGTTTGAGGCCAGTTTGGACTACAGAGTGAGTTTTAGCAAACCCTGTAAAAACTTCCCCTCTCTTATGTACAGCTGACTCTTTAAGCTTTCCATAAAAACTGCTACCAAACCAGTCATGTGTAGTGGCTCTCACAGTACCTAAGTTTGGACCTACATCTGCACAAGTCAGGATAAACTTTGTAATACTGCAGACACAATCAGCCTTAGAATTTTAGTGGTACCTAAGACCAAATGATTATCTTTTGCATGTGATACATGTCTCTCAGGGCTGTCTGGGGCGTAAGCTTTGTTATTCTCTTTCTGACACCCAGGCTGATGGGCTACCATATTTGATTCATTGCTGTTTTATTTTAAATTGATGAATAATAATTGTACACATTTACCAAATACAGTTGGTACATGTTTACATAATGGGATAATAAAATTTACATATATTACCTCATATACTTACCTTTTTGTTAGTGAGACACTTAAAATTTATTATCAGCTTAGAAACTTAGAGCACATTGGCTATTATGTGTTCTATTCAGTAGATTACCACAAAATTTTTTTGACCTACTAAAACTTTGTATACCTTAAAGCTCTCTTTACCTCTTTCCCTTTGTTTGACAATCATTACTTTACTCTCTTCCTTATAGGCTTAACCTTTCAGCTCTCATACATAAGTGAGACATGCAGTATGTGTCTTGCTGTGCCTGGCTTATTTTACTTAACATAATGTCTTCAGCCACTCATTCCTGTTGTTGTAAATGATAGCATTTTCCTTTTTCTTTCTCTCCTTGTGCTACTGCAGTTGAGCCCAGGGCCTTGTGCATGCCAGGC